GAAGAAAAAGAGTGACACAGGAGAAGCCATAACATTAACAATCATTTCAGATTGAGGCCTTCAGTGGTACTGTCCACCAGATATCTTAAGAGTGTCGCCTGACATACCTTACAGATCAGTTGCCCTGTCCCTGTTTATGCATTTCAACCCCCCCGATCCATCACATAACTCTGGCAGCAACGGAGACACTGGATAAGGCTGTGGGCATCCATGCAAGCACTTCTTCACTATCTATCTAAAAACAATCCTCCTCAGGCTGTTGGTGATTTTTTTTTTTTTAAAGAAATGGTAAAAACGTCTTCAAATTTGTGTCGCGCGTTGATAATGTAGAGAAATTTTTAAAAAAGAAAGATTTTTTTTTTTTTTGCTTTTAAGAAACAAAAGTGATTTTATTTTCACTAAGTTCGTTCATCACGAGAAAGCACCACAGTCAGTGGCCTCCTTTGTCATATGATGATGACTGGTCCACAGAGAATGAATGTAGTTAGTGTTCAGTACCCTTTGTGTCTTATTTAAACTGCTTTTTGCCTCAAAACAGCCTGTTGGATTTCAGCAGATCAAATCTTGCACATGCACAGTACCTGCATGTGACTAAGTCATTGTGAGTCTGTGATCGCTCGTGTTGCATTTGTACTAATCCTCAAGTTCACCAAAGGTCCTGTGGCAGCCATGTTCCTGGGTCAGAGGTCGAGCTTATGACTTCAACGGAACATCCGCGGGGAAAGGTCTAAATTTAAACGCCATCCAGATTGCCCTGGCAGCTATTATTAGTTGGAGTATTGCTGCGTGGCATGCAGACCCTCGCTTTGACTATATGAACACAGGGCATGAAAAAAAAAAAAGAGAAGAATCTGACTGGAGCTGGCCACTACCTCTAACCGCCCATTTGGTGATGGCAAGGAGGCAAGAGTTTAATTAAGAGCGGTGTGAACAGACTAATGGTTTATGTTTTGTAGGTCAAAGTGGATTGACCCACTTATTTAGATTACAGGAAGCTGCAAGCTACTATAATACTGAAATGAAATTCTTGGAATTAATTTAATGGCAACAGCGATGGTAATCTTCAACTATGAGTGCAGGAACAATCCTGACTTGCTGTGTTAATTTAAAGACAGGGAAAAAAAACAACAACAACAAGAGGCCTATGTTATTGCTCTACAGCTACAAAAAAATGTATCTATAATAATAATTTTAATTTATAAGCCAAACACCCTGCTCTGGGTTTATAAATTACAGTTAAAAAAGTGCTAAGTTTTATCAAAGTAGTTTTGATAAATAAACTTGCGTATTGGTAAAACTAGCATATTGACACTTACCCAATAAAACATAAGTCTTGATTTACGGAAATGGTGTCTTTTTTTATAGTTTCAAAGTGAGTGTTTTTTATTGACATAAAATACAACACTGCGTGTAATTAAAAAGTGCATCGGTAGGGAACTGCTGAACTTTAATAACATTTACTGACAGTATTTGAAATGGTAAATTATGATTTTAAATATGAACCTTTGTGTATAGACATTCTGTTCCTAGTTTAATTCAACCATAAACATGTTTTCTAAGTTTATGTTTTGTTTACGGTTCAGGCTTAATATTTGTATCACAACATCATGCTAAGAGATGATGTGTGACGTGTAACCGACACACAACTTCATTATTGTGTCGCCACATGACCATAGCAAATTACAGTCGCTGAGTCTGCCTCCGATATCGATTATTGGATGGGTTTCCTCACTCCTAATGCAGAGGAAATGGATGGGGCCCATTATTATTGGTCCCAATAGAGCAAAGGACACTCAGCTAGTACTTATTATGTTTCTTGTTTTCAAAGTAATTTCTATGTGACTCTTTTCTCACAGACCATTTTGAATTACAATACATGAAAATAGCACACCACAAATATTATTGTCATGAGGTAGGTTGTGTAGATGGACTGATCTAATCACAGAAAGAGACTAAAGAACACAGAACAATGAAACCTCGAGAACAACTCAAAACAACCCAGGCCATAACAATTATGAGGTTCCAGCCACTAGAAAAATAAACGTTGCACTTAATAAAAAGTGTCTTGGCTGTGTTGTGATTTTTAGTTATTAGCTACAATATACTTTATTATAAACAGAACATAAGTTTTGATAAAGAATAATCAATCTTTTTTTTTTTTTTACTTACTTTTAATTTACAGTATCATTTTCAAATCCTTTAGTCTAGTCACAGCACAACTTGTGCCATGCAAAACTATTTGCTTCGGCTGACGAACTTTTCCGTCTTCATGTCTGGATCTTCAATTTACTGCTACCATTTTTTTCCCTCTCTTGGATATTCAATACCGACAACTTCTCCTCTGACTGCCTGAGCGTTAGAGGGGGAAAGTTTCCATGCGGCCTTCATGCTGGATGTTGGCGGGACAATCCCACTGTTCCCCCTGTTCACCTCTGCAGCTAGTGCGCTCACTTCCTTACCAGAACTTTTTCCCTCTTTGGGCTGTTGCTGAAACACTTTTCCTCTGCCCCAGACCTGAACCTTCAATATTTTTCTCTTTCTGCTTCTATCTCTCTTTTGCAGACATGCAGATCAAACTGTTGTGTGAGTTAAATGTAGTTTAAGTTGGGTTTTTTTTTGTTTTGTTTTTTTTTAAGAAAAAGATCATTGCAATGCTCTCAATTAAGAGAAAACAAGTCATTTTGCTACTGCTGCTCAGGGTTAATTTGATTATGTCAGAGGCTGCGTACATATTTCAGAGTTAAGGGTATGTGTTGCAAATTAAGCATGTGTCAATAAAAATACCACACAAAGCCAAGTCATTTACCAGAGTCCAACTACTGCAAAACTAATATAACATACACAAAGGAATGGGATCAGTTAAGTTACTCCACAGCAAGCTATCAAGCAGTTTTTGAAGAAACCACAAAATTGTTCTGAATAAAGTTTTTAATCTCTCTGTACTCAAAAAGTCAGAAAGTTAGATGATATAATTAGTTTATTTGTTTATTTAAGAATCCCTGTCGGTCTCTTCCACAATAGGAACTATTCATCCTGGAGTTCACACAATAAAATCATACTTTTACAAACATTACAAAAAGACGTTAGTGTTTATGACACTCAAAGGAAGAGTGAACTGCAGAAAAAGTTAGATATACACAATAGGCATTTATGATTATGCCTGTGATCCTCAAAAACCTGACTTGATGCAGACTGGGCCATTGCTGCCAGCAGACACTCATACTGAGGTACTGAAGCTACTACTACTCACCAGTAAGCTCCTGATTTCAGGCCAAGTGAAAGGAAAGTGCTGTAAATCTCACATGGAACAACTGTGGACTTACAAAACACAAATTGAAGTGGATTTACAGGTTATAAGTCAAAACACAGCTTTTGAAGTATGTCTCCCCACCTTTAGTACTAAAACACGCTCTCTCCTATCAGCTGTCAGATGAATCGTTTCAAAGCCAAGCAAGCAAGAAAACATGAAACTGTGGAAAACTCTTTCTAAAGGAATTAAAGCTTTTTTTTTTCTTTTTTTAAAACAAAACTGCATTGATCATATTCTCATAGTGGGACAGAATACCTGTGATAACTGTTAAATATTACACCCACCTAATAATAACAACCTGACTTCACTCCAGCAGCCTCATCTACCCACATACACTCACTCCACTCCAGCTTAAGTGACGGAAGCTTCCCTCCAAAGCACAGTGTTGACTGTCGCTGTGGCCCATTTCCATCTAGGTCTGAACCGTTTGAGCCCGGGACTCGAGTTTCATTCATGGGGGTTTAAATCATATTCCTCCACAGCATCAAAGTTTCATGTGAGCTGAGAGAGGCTGGAGCAGAGATGGGACAAGCTCTCCCTCTGCTGCTGTAGCCTTGAGAAAAAGAACACACCAACAACCTGGACAAAAAAGGGTCGGATGTTCATTCCTCTGTGTAGGCCTAACACTTCCAAAAACTCGGTTTGTTTCCAAAAATAACGTGTCATGAGTTTTGCACGTGTTCATCCTACTGAAAATGAAAGAATGAAGACTAACTCTTTGTTTTGTTTTGTTTTGCAAAAAAAAAAAACAGAAAGTGTAAACTCAAATTGGAAAAGAAATCAAGAACATTGTGCTTCTGTTTTTAAATTTGAACAGTAATTCACTAATGTCCTCTTTGTCTTCAAATTTTACTTTGGTGTCTTTTATATAATTATAAAACACTTCATTGAGTTACATATTCTTATCAGCAGTAATTTTAACCTTTCCAAAAACCTTTCGCGATTTCTCTGCGTTACTCTTGAAAGAGCCATTTTGTTATGCCAACACAATTGCTACATAAACAATTGAAGCTCCAGTCTAAAAGAAAATAGTAAGCATTTACTTTGATGAGTAAAGGTGGTAATATAGATTCATAATGTGCTGCAGCATGGGGCAATGTAATTAATTGTTCAGTGAAATATGTACTTTTGAAACAAAGAAAATATTTAATAACATACTTCACTAGCAATATATTGAAAACAGGTTAAGTATGTATTCAATAGTCTAAGCATTTATGATTTTTTTAAATTCATAGAATTAGGACAGCTTTGTTCTTTAGATATGAGCTAATATTGCTGATTAGTCTCAAGTTTACTTACTGTGCAGTCCAGCCAACAAGATTTGTTTCTGATTTAGAAACATCAGTTTGAATTCTTTCATGGAATTATAAACACAGGAAATATTAAATTGTAATTTATTTTATTTTTATTTTTTACATAATTGAAACATATAATGAAGTAATATAATGTTAAAGTATAATTTTATCTGTTTTGTATTAGTTGAATTATTTACACATTTACACATATATTTCTTTCATATATTTAGTTTAATCTTGATTAGATTATTACATACCTACGTATTCATTTAATTATTTTATCACAAATGCCACTTTTGGCTCTCTCAGTTTAGGAACCAAAAGACACGGCTCTTTTTTTGAACGAAGCCATATGATTCGGATCTCGGAAAAAAAGCCGGAATTCCCATCACTACAGCATTCTGCTCCCCCGGAAGCACATCTATTCACGTGTAGCATTTTTCAACCTTGAAAAACAACGTAATAGAGTTGCTAGCATTTTATCTGTCTGATTATATTGCTACAGTGATGTCAGTAACAAAAATGGTGTAAGTAATAAGTGTTTATTTCTACTAAATGATCTGAGACCTCATTGCGTAATGGTAGTTACCATTTGTTTCAATTTTGTAATCTATCAATTACCTACGGTTGGGCTCTAACATTGTGCTAGCCCTTGTCTTATGTGTCCTCGTGTTGATTTTGGTTTTGATTAGTTTATGTAAAACTCTTTAAACGTGTTTTATGTTCTTACTTTTAACTGTAAACTGACTGCAAGAAAGTAGTTAGCATTAGCAAGCTAAGCTAAAAACAGTCAACACGGAGCTCTAATTGCTTAAAGTTGTACTTTAGAAGAATATGTTTTCTCTTAATTACGTTAAGCGTCGTTCCGAATTAGGTTCAGATAACAGTGCGGATTTAAGAGACTCTTGTAGGCATATACTTTGAGAAGAGCGCTGTAATATTTAACATTATTTTCCGTAAATGTTAAAGATCACGTGGCTTTAGATAGGATAGGATAGGATAATCTTTAATGTCCAAATGTGGTTCTGCAGGGAAATATTTTACAATTTTTATCAGAGCTGCTAGTGACTTTGCTGCGTTCATGTCTTTGTACGAAAACACTCAACTCTGCTGTTGATTTTTTTTTTAAACATCTGTAGATTTGTTTTAAAAAGCAAATATTAATAAACCCAATAGCTTATATGTTTCCGGTACCTGAAAAGTATGCAAATGACTTTGCCTCGTATCAATTATTTTCATATGTTGACTATATAAAGAACCAGTATGTTTTGTCATAGAGAGGGGAGCTTGTGCCGTCCTGTCAGACATCATGTAATAACATCATAGCACCTAAATGTTTCTTTAATTAAGCATTTATACTCAGATTTAAGAATACTTTGTTAATCCCCCTCATAGAAATTCCCAACTTACAAACCTTGCAAAACCATAATTAACAGTTAATGATGCATAATCAGTTTCAAGTGAGCAATAATGTTTCTGAACACTTTGAAGAATAGCATTACCATAGACACTGGCTATTGTATGGATTGTAGGAAACGATTACAAATGATCACATTTAGTTTTTGTTTAATTTAGACAGCTTAACATTAAACATTTGTAAATAATTTATTTCCATTTCTCCTCTTTAAAAAATGAGAGGATTTTTTTTAAATATATACATTTTCTTTTTAACATTTGAAAATATTTCATGGTTTCTTGTCTCGTCTCAGCTACCCTCTGTACCAGTTGGGAAACCCCCAGCTGAGGATCTTCAGACCCAGCTGGTTTCTGACTCTGGTGAGGCCTGGAAAGGAGCAACCTCCTGACACTGTCCAGTTTCGTATCCCAATGGAGTAAGTTTTTAGTACTAAAAATACTGTCTCATTGTATCAGGAGGTTTTTGGATAATCATGCCCCATTATATTGACTGTTGTATAGCTTACTAAAAAGCTTTTTTTTTTTTTTAGTACAAATAGCAAACTTTTGAGGTGACAGAATGTACAATTTTTACTGTACTCAGTTTTCAAAAAACAAGATCACAAGAAGGAATTACGCAAATCACCCCTTTGAATCTGTTCTTTGGAGATTATAAAAAGTCAAGTGAAAGGTTTCTTTGTGTGGCTCTTGTTAGTCTAAGTTGATCCCCTCTGTGTGTTTTATATACATCTCGCCCGGAACGTTAACTGGAGATGGGGACCAGCAACCCTCCCGACCCCACTAAGGGACAAGGGTGTAAAGAAAATGGATGGATGGATGGATATGTATATATAGACTTGAATGTTATAATGTTAAATGTTTTGATGAAGTTTTGAGTCTACATATTATAGCCTCTTTAATTTGAAACATGAGTGATTGTTGCCTTATTACTGACATTTATTGATTTATTTCACTGTCACTGCTGTCCATTTGGCTAACATGCAAGCATTTTGAGGGTGACAGTTGGGGTGTTAAATAAAATGTGAATTTAACTGTACTGGCCACCAGATGGCATGATTGCATCAAGAATAGAAAACAAAGTCAAGAGTGAACTGTATGTACTGTACAAATCTTAAATATTTGAGCACAACAGTTTCAGTGATGTCATTTGAAAGGCTCGTCTTGTACAAATCTTAAATATCTGAGCACAGCAAATATAGGTGATGATTTTCAAAGTGCTTTTCTTTAGCGAGATTGTGGGAGTTTAGAGGAAGTTGTTGACAGCAAGATGTCAAACATCAATCACCACCAGAGGAGCCAATACTAACACCTCTGAGAAAAAGAAAATGTTCTTGAACGTTCTCCAAATGTCATATCTAATGCAGTATGCTAAATGTTTTACCACAAGACCACTTCCAGGGTTTAGCATTATATTGCTCCTGTGATGAATTTGTGTAAAAGTCCAACATATATAGTAATAAATGCACGCAGAGTTTTACTTTGATGGTTTTGGACAGGTCATATTCTGCGATGAAGCTCTTGCGCATGCCCTTACCAGTCATCCCAACTGCAGATGAGCAGAGTTTTGGGTACGTCTGTGAGCCAAGGTTACTGAGGCTTGTAGTGTTCCTCAGGCGAAGAGAGGCCCAGAACCCATGCTAAGGAGAAAAATTGAAGTTTGCAGCAGATCGTCTATGTGTCTCTGGTGGGGTTTAGACCATAATCTGTTCATCCAGGTGCTTGGCCTCCCACTCTGATTTTTGCCTCCTCTCTGCCAAACTCCTAGGGTGCTTATGTAATTGTGTGTATGTGTGTGTGCACGTGCACCGTTGTCAGTGTGGGCGAGTCAGTTAGTGAGAATGGTGTGCGTCTCTGTGTACACATGCACAAAAGTGGGTAAGTGCAGGGTGCATGTGTGTTTTGAAAAGGGTGTGTGATGTTATTTTTCCTTCCAGTCTTTGATGCCTGCGAGAGGTACACAGCTGATTGATACGCTGCTGGGGCCTCATTGTGCGCTCAAAATGCTGTTATTTTTCTGTATTTATTCAAACATGTAGTATGAGTTCCCACGTCGAGAGACGATGACACAAACTAAATATCACTCCCACTCCCAGCTTATTGATGAGTGAGTCAGGGAGGCAGTGAAAGCTGTTGTAGGCGTGGAAGCGTGAGTACACTCTTGAACTGAGCAGCTGTTAATGAGAGCTAGTGATGATTGTATCATGAAGCCAGTTGGTACTATAAGGCCATCTTCATTTTAATGACACCCCCCGGGGTTACAGTCCATCAAAGTATCCATAACCCCTTGAACTTCCGCACATTTTGCCACATTGCATTGGCAAACTTCGATATATTTTTCATTTGGAGTTTATCTGGTAGTCCATCACAAAATAGTAATGGATTATGAAGTAGAATGCGAAAGAATACCTTTGGCTATTGAGAAACGATTGCTTGCTGGAGGGCTGGTCTGTGTTGAGGTTTTAAATTTTACCCAGTTGCTAACGTTTGCCCGTGATGCATGCAATGTGCCACATTGATTGTGAAGGAAGGTACTCTATGAAACTCACCAGAAATTGTATGCGCTGCAAACAACCGTACCCCGCTCTTGCTCCAAATCTAATTGCTCAATATTTGGAAACGTGGCCAACATGGACTGAATGACTTTCTCCGCTGCCATTGCCAAACGACCACTTAATTTATTCCTAAAGTTAATTTTATTTCAACTAACCGTACCAATTTCAACATTAAACCCCATCTACGTATGTTGTTTTTTCTTTCTGAAGTTGAAGGAGTGTGACTTATGGACAGTCTCATGATTTCTCTGCTTTGGCCGCTCAACAACATTTTTTTTTTAATATTTCATGATCTACACCTGTTATTTCTGACCCCTATTTTGTACTGTGTTGACCTCCTCAGTTTATTTTGTTCAACATTTTTCTCATCTAATTGTCAAGTGCTATTGTTAGTTTCTGCCCTTTTCTCTAATCTTTACTTTTTTCTGCTTTCTTAAATACTACATATCTAAGACCAATCTCTCTTGTTTGAAACACCTGGGCAGTTTTTGTTTCCTTTCAATTCTGGTTCTGCCTGTGGGAGGGTAGCATTTGTTCATCTTTATGATTGTTCTCGAGCCTTTTGTGCACTGTAAGTATTTCCTCTCTGCTCTAGGACATCATCAAATTTCCAGGTTTACACCCACATATACACACACTCACACCCCTCTTGTAATCTCACCTGGCAGTGGCCTTAGGCCATCGGAGTTGAACACAATGCATCGCACAATGGCAATCGCCCACCATAAATGTTCCACTTAATCTCATTGTTGAAACCAGGTCATTGTTTGGCCTAATGATTTTTGAATACTGATTGCTTAAATCCACTCCCTCTGTATGAGTGTAACAAGCTTTATAGAACTGTCTTTATATAAAAAGTTCAGTCGCTCCTCTGTTTGGTGTTTTGCTGAATGATTATAAGACCCAAATACTGAACAATAAATGTAATCCTTCACACGCTGCTCTTTTACTCTAATCTTCTCAACTGTCTCTTCTCTCACCTGAAGTCTCAGGTTCCCCGATGGCTTTCCTCCAAACAATACCTATTATGATCTTGATACTTAGTGTTGAGCAACTTCTGCACATCTATTGTTCTCCGCTGATGGGAGGGTAAAAGTAGAGAGTGTGCATATCTCAACCCTTGCCTGACAAAGGGTAAACCAACAACGAGGAGCGGCTTTCTTTTGCCTTTCATCTGCGCTGAGCACAACTCTCCTGTTTCTGTTGCACCACTAAGCCACTTTGATACGATGCACATCATAAGTGCACATGTGCTGCGTGTAGCTTTGTTTATACAGTCGCATTGGAAAATTAAGTCACTCCATGTGGTTCTCAAACATCTTTGGAGACAATTATTGTGAAAATTTGCAATACAAAAGAAAATGATTATTGTAGCTAAACAATTAAAGGAGAAGAGGGAAAGACGGCTTAAAAATTTCTTGTCATACATAACTAAAAAAACACAATGTGCAATATTTTGCAGAATAAGGTGTGCCCTATTTAAACCTCAGTATATAGTCTTTTGTGCTTCCGACTGGGCAAGGTGAAAACTTTTGCACTCTAAAGCTGCTTCTCCGTGGTCAAGTTTCACTCGAGCTGGTTAATGTCTGGTTCAGGTTGGTTTGGAGTGTGTTCGTTGGAGTCTATGCCGCTCTACTGTGGGTGTGAATATGGGTAGGAAAGTGGGAACGCACGGGGGCTCTGGTCATTGCTCCGATGTTTTTATTTTTTTATTTTTTATTCTTTTTGCGGTGACACTCCACAATCGAGAACCTCGAGGTTGTGTTTTTTTTTATGGACTCACATCTATTTCCGTTTTTCTTGCCGAAATTCATTGTTGGCCCAAACATAATTTAAAAAATTACAATAATTTAAATTAAGTGCATTTATTTAATTTCCTTTTGGGAACAATAAAGTACTCGGATTAGTTGCATAGTTTGCTCTACGTACAAATCTATCTGTATTGTGACAATTTTTTACTTATTTTTTTAATTTGTAACCTTTTTGGATTTAGGTAATGCAGTCAAAAGACATAAACGATAGCCAAACATGAGAGAAAGATTCCAGACAAAGACTAAAATGCACATCACACCAAACTAATATTATATAAATCTAGTGTTTGACGCTGGCCGATGTAAAAAAAGAAAAAATTAACTTCCACAGAATGTTGACCAAAGCTGCACTGTTTCTCTCTTCTTCATTGTGTACGCATTCTTCAGAGAGAAATCACGGTCCACTGCTCCCGAGGTTGACTCATGTGCTCCTCCAGTTGCTCAAGGTGACACTGACGATTACGCTCCTCCACACTGCGGTGGTTGAGATGTTGCTTCCAGTTTTCAGTGACGTAAATCAAAAAAATGCAGTCTGCTGTCAATCGAAACAGTTGCGCGTAATACACAACCTGGTGTACTTCTCCTGTTAGAAAAACACAGAAAAGTCGTGCAGAACTGCGAAAGATCTGCTAATGGAGATTCATCCGGCCGGGACAGGCTGAAGATGAATGGTTTTAACCCGCTCCCGTGGATGAGCCGCTTAAGAAAACTCTGAAATTTGCCAGACAAACACCACGACTTCTTCAATCACTTTTGGACAGATGAGTCTAAAATTGAATTATTTATGCACCAAAGCAGAATGCATGCTTGAGCGTTCTGCTTTGAGGTTCATTTCCAGGAAATGAACCTACCAGATGTGAAGTGTGGAGATGAAGGTGGGCACATTTGACGTTGCTAGCTCACAATTATAAAATTCATCCAGAAAATAAATTCTTTGGCTAACACAAGGTTATTTTTTTTTTCTTTCTTTCTTTCTGGCCCCCACTTAAATCACATTCGTCAGAGATTAATTAAAAAAAAGTAGGCAGTGGTGTGTCAAGATTTCTTAATAAA